TGGAGCACCCGAGGCCTTCCGGGTGCAAATACAACCGGGGATGGGGGGGGCTACCGAGGCAACAACAAAAAAAGCAGGCCTCAATGACCACGCGCTGCCGAGAAAGCTTTCCACATCGCCGGAGGCTTCCTGCAACTCTGTCTCGGTTGGAGGCAAGACCAGCTGCGAAGAAGCCCCGGCGTTGGAAAGGGCTCCGGAGAGGACGGCGCAGCTGAACCCGATCCTTATGCGCGGGTCACGGGGCTCACCTCCTGCAACGAGTCGGGCACGGCGGCGGGGACGATGGGCCTCTTGGCACCGCGCTGCTCCTTCTCCTTGTCGCGCTCTTTGTCTTTCCCGTTCTCTGCGGCCGCCGCAGCCGCGGCCGTTTCCCCCTTCTCCGCCTGGGTCATCTTCTCGTTCGCTCCAAGGGCCGGCCGGGACTCCTCCTCCTCCTCCTCCGAGGGAAAGCGGCGGCGAGAGCAGACGCCCGCCCCTGCCTCAGCGGCGAAGTGGGCTGGAGGAAGCGGGGTTGCGCTTCCTCCGGGCGATCAAAACGATCCCGGGGTGGTTTGACTTCCCGGTGACAGGGAAACAAGCCGCCGATCACGGCCGGCTATTTTTTATATATTTATTTTCTTAAGGGCCTTGGCGCGCCGCCTTGTTTCTTGGTTCCTATAGTTCTTAACCTGGGCGATATCGCCCCCCAGGGGTCGATTTTGTTTTTCAGGGGGGCGATGGAACGAAAAGGGGCGACGTGGGGGCGAAGGAACGGAAGGGGAGTGATGTGGGGGCGATGGAGCGAGAAGTTTGGGGGACACTTTTGAGACTTTTTTCGTACAGTGAACAGCTGTATATCTGTCATACAAAAACATCAGATCCCTCGCTATTAGTGGATTGAACTGTGTTTTAAAATGTTCTGTAAAAATTTTCTTTGTGTCTTTTTAACCCTTTTTACAGGATGCATGAATATATATTTTCCTCGAATCTCAATTTGGTTTCAGAGTTTTCGTCTTGAAATTCTTAGTTCCTGCATTGCGGTTTGTTCTTATGCCCTTTTTTATATGTCTTTTTGCATCTTAAAATTCACTTGTGATTAAATCATTAAATGTTACTGTTTTTTTCGGCCATTTCATTTTCTTGCAATTGAATTTTGTTTTCAGTGGTCATTGCATTTAAGCGTCTTGAATAAATAAGATAATAATGAAATACTTGTATCACAAAGTTTGGGAGTAAAGTGATGGGTGGCATCAGAATTTTTCACACAATTGAGATATGGGAAAAAGACTGGAAATAAATTATTTGCATCGATATGTCCTGATGACAATTTTAAAGAAAACAAAAAACGTGTTTGCATAAATTGAAGAATTATTTCCCTGTGTTGTGATTGAGAGGTTATGTTGGGGGAGGGGGGTGATGATAACTTCCTCAATGGCTCAAGGGGGCGATTCTTTCAAAAAGGTTAAGAACCACTGCTATAGACTCCTTGTAGGTACACCGAAACAGTGAAGGCTGTTCTTCTGTTGCTGGGTGCACCACCGATGCCGCCTCCAGGGAGCACGTTATTGTAAAAGTGGCTGAAGCCAGACCTCAGTTTGAGAAAAGCTGAAATTGGCGAACTTCGTCACCTCCCAGGCATTGGGCCTCTGAAAAGAAAAGAAAAAAGAAAAAAAACCAATTTTAAAATAAACAATCTTTATTTTAGGGGAGGCCCAAAAATGAGTTCAGGAATGGTCCACAGAGATTGTAATAATCAGATTTCACTAGGCTTTGCCTTAGGTAGGGCTGCTTAAGTTTGGTCACTTGAAGCTGTGTGGATTTCAACTTCCAGAATTATTATTTTTCCTAGAGTATTCCTGCAGGTGCAGGGTCTGCTTTTCAGATCATTGAATGCCACTGCGTGGTCAGCAGCAGCATCTCCAGGGCGCAGGTGGTATTCAGCAGGTTCTGACCAGTTCTGGAGAATCGGTAGCAGAAATTTTGAGTAGTTCAGAGAACCGGCAAATGCCACCTCTGACTAGAGATTTTACAGTATCCTTCTCCTGCCACGTCCACAGAACTGGTAGCAAATTTTTTTGAATCCCATCATTGGTGCAGGCCTGTGGTTTGCATGTCTTTGTTGACGTGTCTCACCATCTTTTGTTTTGGATGCACGCGAGGTCGCTGGCCATTGACTTCTAGTTGGTAGGCTACCTTGGCAATGCTGAAAGCTGCTTCCATTCCAGCGGAGCTGGCCTTCTCTCATCTTCCCTGTAATTGGTGCCACACCAAAATGCTGTTGAATGGTGTCACTTGTGATGTGGTCAAGAAGGGAGGTGCCTGATATCCAAGGGAGCATTTGCATTTCCATGGCATGGAGATAGCTTTCAGCCAATATTGAGGAATTCTGGGAGTTGAAGTCTACACAGCTTCAAATGGCCAAGGTTGAGAAGCACAGCCTTAGCGGATAAGTGTGAACTCAGCTGCTTGAAGTTAAATGAAATGGATTTTTGAGTAGGAGCTTGCATCATAATGCCAAATTGTTTTCTTTCAAACCAAACCGTAGCATTCTGGAGGTTCTGCTGAATTGTCATTATTGGTACCTACCACAACCCACCCTATGACTGCTTCCTGGATTCCCAGCACCTCCATTTCATCACTTTCAATGTCCCAACACAGCAAATCTAGTTGGCCTACTCACCAATTTTTCCAGTTTATCCCTGGTTGTTTTTTTTACTTTTCCCATTCCACAAATACAAGATGTTATTATACATATGACCAAAATTTGCATCCATCTGTTAATTCTTAGCATAAAATGGGTCATGAACAGAAAGCTTGGGACCTCCCTATTAACAAAATACCTGAGTTTGGGGATGGGGGTGATATTTCAGCCAAGATAGTTTATTTTTTTCTTACTTTTAAAACTGAGCTATTCCTACTAGATGCTTCCTACTAGAAATCACCCTAACAATGATGGCGAACCTTTTTGGCACCAAGTGCCCAAAGCCTGTGTGCAGGCATGTGCATACCCAAAATGCAACATGCGTGCACACCCTGCACATGCATGCACCTCTGCGTGCATGCCCCCTGCATGCCCGTGCCCCTGCACATGCATCCTGCCCCCCCCCCCCCCGTGCATGCATTGCAGACTTGAAGACCAGCTGGCCACCAGGAGGCAGGTGCTCGTGCAGGCGCAGCGGAGCTAAGCTGGGGCAACAGTGCATGTGCCCACAGAGAGGGCCCTGCGTGTCACCTGTGGCACGCATGCCATAGGTTCACCACCACTGCTATATACCATTTGAATCTCTATTTAACAAGGTAGTTTTATTAACAAGGCTTAACGTGGTATTTTTTGAAATAATAGGAATCTGGCAATGACTAAATGATGTAGTTTCCGCCTTTAGAAAAATATGCAAGTTTTCCTCCCAAGTTTTAAGGGGGGGGGGGAACCCTGGTGTTCTTCTCTTGAGTCATTTTTTCAAGGCTGTCATCTCTCTTATTGCTAAAATGCGCATAGCATCTGCCAGGTTTCCTGCTCCTTTTAATGCCACAGGAGAAAAAGCAAAGGATTGCTAAAAGAATGGCATCCTTACCTCTTAACATCATATTTAAAAAGAGAAGAGAAAAATTATAAGATCTTGGCTGAAGTTTATTAAAGTTTCCTAAAGCTGTACAGCACATATGAAAGAAGAGTTTTACAAATGCACTAATACCAGCAAAGCTCATTTCCTTAAAGCAGAAAAATAGCTGTCTCCTTTGGAAAGCTTCTTTCCTTCCTTTGTTGACCAGCTGTGTATTTGTATGCAGACATTTCCACAGGGAACTGCTGGCACAGCTGTACCTGCACCCACATGTGCAAACAGCCAGAGGCAGTATTTGGAGCTATCTCAAGGATGTACGACTTTACTAATTCAGAAGAGGGGGGGGGGAGCCTTACTTTTGCTACTATATTTTGCAAAGCACTCTTTAAATGTTTTATCCAGCCCCTGTAATGGTCCCTTTTAAAACCAGTTTTATATCCACTTTTAAATAGAGGTAATCCTAATGCAATATGCCATCAACTTGCCAGCAGCATCCTTTTCTATAGATCCAGTCAACTTCCAAACACTCGGTCATATACAACTTTCAGCATAAAAAAGAGCAATATACAGCTGACAGAAAAATGCAGAAAAAAAATCTCAGAATATACTAATCCGTTAAAGAAACTTAAGAAATAATTTTTTTTAGAAGGGAGATTCCAGTATGAAATTGTATTTAAATTGTCCCAGAAAACTCATTAGAGCTTCCTCTGTAATGGTACTTATAGATGAATTGGACTCCCATACATAAACAGAATGAAACTTAAGGGAAACTGAGTTAGAGTCTAAAACTCTTGGAGAGCATTTTGCAAATGAATAGACTTACCAGGATTTAGTGTGAGGATTTAGCAATCATGATAAATGTACTTTTATTTATATATTTATTAACATAAATTGAAATAAGGTCATATTTTACATTTGGGATTTAACATGGCAAAGAAGAGGTCAAAATGAAACAGATCATAAATTATAAGTAACACAGATAATGGGTGTGGATAATGGGGAAAAAATGGGAATTATAGTTTTCAAACAGCTAGATGTCCACAGATGGTCTGCTGACTTTAAGCCATAATCAATTAGTGTTCAAAACACAAGACACCATTTTCCTTCAAAACATAACCGAGATAACCAAGATTTGTATGTGTGTGTATATGCTAAAATTAGAATAAAAAAAAAAAAGAATTTGAACATGTAATAATCTCACCAAAAGCATTTTAAGGTATAATAGATCTAGCGTGAGGGGGGGAAACTATGGCCCATTTATGACCCGTGGACTTCAACTCCCAGAATTCCTGAACATACTGAGCTGACTCAGGAATTCTGGGAGTTGAAGTCCACAGATCTTGAAAGGGCCATAGTTGCCCACTCCTGATCTAGTGGGATGTTAGAAGTAGCTTAAGTTTGTAGCAGTTTCTTCCTGATCTTAACATACATATTCTGAGATTGTGCTTTTTTAAGTCTTCATGTGCACAATTTGTCCATTCTAAAATATTGATTACAATTAAATGATCCCAACTCAGTATTTTGCAAAGTTATATATTTCCATAACTTTACAACTAGCACAAAATATCCAACAGCTATACAAAAGGCTTAAAACAGACAGTAAACAGGTACATTTAATAGAACTGCACTTCAGTTACACTGGATCCTAGAAAATGGAATTCCCAGTACAACTTCATTTTTCTGCTGATTCACAGAGCAGTCAAATCATTTAGACAACATATTTGCAACCTTCAGATCCCTTTGCTGCATTCTTGATCAGGTTCTTTTAGTCATGCAAATATGTAGTCTGACGCCTGCTTCTTAAAGCAGGCGTTTACCTATGGAGAAATAAAAGAGAAATTGATTAAGGTATTTGTTTCTTTATGGTTTCTTTAGCCATTATCTAATAAAATATTTCCAGAACCTGAAAAAGCCATTTTAAACTTGCTTTACTTTGTATACATCCTTTCTGATAAATCTATTTATGATACAGATGTAAGTAAATATATGCCAATCACATTGATCTTACATACTTCTAAGTAGAATATTACTAAAATATGCTTAAATTGTATTCCAATGTTATTTGGCATATAACTGAAAATTAGGGCATTCAACATGAATCAACTATGCTAATGTAATACAATAGAATACTAAAAATTTCCATAATGGAATAATTTAGTGAACATCATAGTACTGAGGGCTTGCCAGTGTATCTGCAGTATATTTCTACATATTCTCAAAATATAGAGATGCCCCAAATCGGGAAACTACAGCAGGGGATGGTTGGAGAATGAAAGGGAGTATCATGCAATTCTTTGTCAATTTATTTTACTGAATATATTACAGATAGTCCTTGTTTAGTGACCACCATTAACACTACCATTAAGTAAAGCAGATGATAAATGTAACTGCAACTCTGCTCATCTTACTTTAGCTTTGCTTTGCAGACCTGTGAAGATGACAAGCGCAAGGACTGGTTGAAAAGTTACTTTTTATCACCATGATAACAGCGAATGGCCACTGTACGAGACAGTTGCTAAATAAGAACTACTTATACTAAGAAACATAGGATGTTATATATGTAGGATATATCCATTCCCATTTTTCCTAATCTCAAATTTTATTTTATGTAATATACATTTACCTTTTTGAATAAGGATAAAAATGAAACAGAAAAGTTCAACCACTTGGCCTATTACGTATTTGAAATCCTACAAGATTATTCTTGTGACGTTAAGCATTATGATTTTTTTAGCTGAGTTCAATGTGACTTTTGGGCAGAGCATCTTAAGAAGAAAAAAGATGGGCTACCTTCCTCATCCACCACCAGCCATTGGTGGGGGACTTGGACCTCCAAAGTGGGTTATTCGACCCATTCTACGACGAGGAAATCCTGGAGGTCTGAGAAACAAAGATCAAATTAAAAAGCAGCAATTCCCACCTCTGTGGTCATATTTGGGCATCACAGTAATTTAGATTAAAAACTGATTTAATGTGAATAAAGTATAGAGTCATGTGTGCTGTTCACCTGTTAACAGATATGATTGTATTTCGATACCCCCATCTGTGACATATTTTGAATTAGACAAGAATAGAGATTTCTTTTCCAAAGCAGAATAAGCCCAACTAACTCATGGTTTATAACTGGTTCATTAGAAAATAAATGCCAAAAATAAGAAGTAAGTACAAGTAATCCTTGACTTATAACCATAACTGACCCTGAAGAAAAAAAAAAGCTTAGAGAGCACCAAGTTTTCCTGAGTTACAAATATTATTTTCTGTTGTCACAGTCTTAAATTGTGGCAGTCATTGAGCAAGTCATCACTTGACCAGCCCAATTTTACAATCTTTTTTGCCATGGTCATTAAGCAGATTTCTTCAATGGGCATTTTTTGCTAAAAGTAAATACCAGAAAATGGCAAACAAACAGCAAAAATCATAATTATGTGATCAAAAAAGTCATAAATGCAGCCAGTTTCCAAGCATCGAAAACTGAACACGTGATCATGTAAATATGTGCATCAGTCAAAATTCCAGAAGTTGATTTTAAGTAGCTCTGGAGAGGCTCATAGTTAAGTGAAGACTACCTATTTGCCTGTGATGATAAACAATCCATAAACAGAAATTGAAATTCTCCTGGCAGGAGGAACCAAGCAAGAAAAATCATGTATCTGGTCTTTCATGAATTTAGCTCTGAATCTTAGCAATGCATCCTTTATCTTTTTTCCACTCAAATTCAACTATACTTAAGTGTGGAAACTTAACTTATAATGGAGATACTACAGAAAAGCTTAAGACACTCTGGAAAAACACAATGATTTTTAACCATTGCACCCCAATTTTTCACACTGTATTTCATCTAAATTAAAGTGAAAAAAAGCAGTACCCTCTTCCATCGTCATATCTTGAAGAAGAAGAAGATGCGTAGCCTCTCCTCAAATCTGGGTGAATGATGCTCTGAAAACTAAAATGAAAATCTCTGTTAACTGAAATAAGAAAGATCTGAAATATTCAGTATTTCTAGAACCATGTGCAACATTTTAAAAAATAACCAATGCTAAAGAACAAGCAATTGGTTGTTCCACATTTATTTTCCAAACACAAAAATAGATTGAAATAGAACTGAAAATAAAATATTATTGTTAGCAGATCCCTCAAAACCAAATAGAAAATGTATAAGCTGACAATTAAATGTGACACAATCAGCTAAGTGAATTTTATAATGCAAAGCTTAAATAAATGAAGTTAATTATCCTATATAAAATCATAATTTTCCAATACTGTATGAGAATGGACAATAGTCAATATACGGTATATAACAAAACTCACAGAACCCACCATTAGCTAACTTATAGCTCTTTCCAGATGGAACTATTTAATGTCTCACTACATCATCTGTTTCTTCATTTGCTGAATTAAAAAAGAATAGCTAAAATGTCCAAAGACTTAGAATATATAACATCTAAATGGTATTGCAGACTGACAGATCATATAGTCCAGCACTAGACATTTCACTGCCTGTGAAGGACAAGGTAATACTACCATTACATTCCATATATAATGGATTATAACAGTAGCTGAATTCTACTTTGATGAAAAAATATGATCCTGGATCAGAAAACATTATCAGGAAATGCAGACCAAGTTACAGTGCCCAATTCTTTGTCACCGCTGTTTCTCGTCTCTCATCAAGGCTGGGAAACACTTGCAGATGCCTGACCTTTTAAGGAACATTTTTCAATGTTAGAAATTTTATTTTCAAGTTATTTAATCCATCTGATCTTTTAATTAAATATGGATTCAGAAGTGTTACAAGCACAATCCAGTTTGAGGGACAACTATTAGTTCAGTCTTCTCCAAATATTCAAGGATACTCCAAAAGTTATTAGTTTTTCCAAAAACTCCATTTTACAAGGAATTCTATACATAGAGAAGCTATGTATTTATTTGTACATATCCAAATTACTCTATAAATCTTACAAAATTATCGCCGAAAATTCAGCCTTGTGTTTACTTTCCTTTCACATCTTTTGTTAAGACATTGACTATATGTTTTCATCAATTTTAATCAAAAACTCCACAAGAGGAGCAATAAGAATGTGTTTCTTCTACTCCACTGGAGTTTTGCTAAATGAATTTAACTGTAAAATGCATCCATTATATATATTAATCTACTCAGGCCTTAAGTGTCTCAAGGGGGAATAATAATTGCATAATTCATGTTTGTTTGTTTTTAATTTGAGGGAAAAACTTCACTTACAACATCACTATGAAATCTGCTATTCCCCAGAAGAAGTCAGTTATAGATGACAAACTCCATGGAGCCCGACTCCGGTTATCCAAAACTTGTCCTACAATCCAGAACAAACAATGATGATTACTGTTTTGAAATAATAACATCAATAATCCTATACCATAATACCAGAGCTCATCATATATTATTATTAATCCAAAATTTGTTCGTAAACCCAGGCATACCCATTCCTTTCACTGTTCAGAATAATAATGATAGTTCCAGAAGCGACCAATCAAAACAAAACAAAAAACGATGACATTAAATAAAGAAGCCAGGAAACTGCAGACAGGATACTGATCCTCCACCGCGCGCCTTTAAGAGTGATCTTTTCACCGGCGGATCCACGGGAGTCCCTTTCAATGCGTATTGCCGGGCGGACTCCAGCCCAATTTGGTACCCAAGAGGAAGGTAGTAAGCGGCCAGTTTTGCCGGTCGAGCCAAGCAAAAGAGAACGCCGAGACACCTGAACGTTCCCCCTCCCCGGGAAAGGGACTCTTCCCCCCGCCCCCCGGTCAAAATTTTCCGGTTCTCACCATTCGAAATGTAAACCATCGCTTACGCCGCCTCGTTTACGCCCCGAGAGTGCCCGGCAATCCCCCTAGCCGACCCCCTCGGTATTCTTTCTTTTGCTCCGCCCCTTCAACAAGGAAGTCAGCGTTGGGAAGACTCCATTGGCTGAGAGCTCAGGGATGGCCCGTTTCGACGCTTCCTTTCCCACCCCCTCATTTTTTTATTTTTTTTAGTCTCAGGAATATAGAGCTAGGAATATAGAGCTAGAAATATAGAAGGGATATGGCTTTGTAAAGAAAGGGAGATTCGAAAGTGTCCGTTTCCCCCCCCCCGCCCCCATTTTAACATGCTCGTTCTACTTAGCGTATCTCTGCGTGACATAAATAAATGCTGGTCGACGCATGATCGAAGGAATACACTGCACCACAAAAGGGTTGCTTTCAGAACACTTTTGATGTTCGTTATGGATTTTTGGCTGCTAATTGTGAAGATAACCTATAATTCAATCCATTACATAATAACAATAGCACTTACACTTATATACCGCTTTACAGTGTTTTTATAGCCCTTTCTAAGTGGCTTACAGAGTCAGCCTATTGCCCCCAACAATCTGGGTCCTCATTTTACCCACCTCGGAAGGATGGAAGGCTGAATCGACCTTGAGTCTGGAGAGATTTGAACTGCTAAATTGCAGGCAGCCACCAGGCAGCAGAAGTACCCTGCAGTCCTGCATTCTAAGCAGTGCCCCACCGTGGCTCTTAATGTTTTATTGACATTTGTTTTTATGCAATAGCAATGTATAGGTAGTCCTCAACTTACAACAGTTCATTTAGTGATTGAAGTTCATCACTGAACAAAGTGACTTTTGACCATTTTTTGCACTTGGCAACCATTGCACCATCCCCACAGTCACATGATCAAAATTCAGATGCTTAACAACTGACTTTTATTTATGACAGTCACAGTCTCCAGTGGTCATATGATCCCCTTTGCAACCTTCTGACAAGCCAAGTCAACGGGTAAGCCACATTCACTTAACAACTATGCTACTAATTTACGAATGTAGAGATTCACTTAACAACTGTATCAAGAAAGGTCATATAATGGGGTAAAATTCACTTAACAAATGTCACATTTAGCCACCCTGAAAGAATTTGGTTCCAGGGCAGAAAAGTGTGGCACAGGAACCACTTGTTGACCCAAGAAAGATATTTTTTGAGTCTGCTTTGCACAAAACTCTATATCCAGCTATATCCAGCTGGTTGACAAACTTCTTACAACTTACAAAACCACAAAGTGCAACATGTCACTGAAGATTCACTTTTTGCATTCATGCTTGGTGTTCTTTCCCAAAAATCTAGCTGCAATCTGTGACAAACATGTTAAAGATTTCACTAGGATATTGCTACTAAGTATGTTTCCAAATTGCATAGTCCTCTCTAAATCTGCCTAGATATTTGGCTACATTGTTGGGAAGGGTTGGGAAAAAGAGATAAAATCCTTGCTACTCCATTTTTACAACAATCGTCTGGAAAGCAAACTTTATACAAGTTTGAAACTTTAAACAAGTTTAGAAAATCTTCTAGACCGATCTCTGGTGTCAGTAATTTATTAGTACTAAAATATTATGTAAATGTTTTAATTAATCAAGGTCATAATGTGGGGCATAATATCTGTCATCATACCTGGTGACAATCATAGCCTTATCAAGGTTTAGCTTTAATATGTTTAATTTTTTCTTGTCTTCATTTGTTTATTCCCAAAGGGAAGACATGATGGGTATGTTTGCATGTTTGCTTGTATGTATGTTTGTACATTTGAATTCATGTATGTATGTATGTTCCTCCCTTGTGTTTGAGTCTAAAAGAGCACATAATAAAGCACAGGGGTCAAACTCGCTGCAGCGTGTTGATGTCATGTGATATATCACAATGTTTTTTGCCTTTGCGGAGCTGAGGTGGGTGTGGCCTTGCATGACAGATACGGCCTGTGGGCCGCCAGTTTGACACCCCTGTACTAGAGGAATTCCTCATAGACTTTCTATTTTACATCAACCTTGATATATTAAAGGACAATGCCTGAATTCCCCACTAATAGGTCAGGGAAAGCCTTCTTAAACTTGGCATAACAGTTGCTTACCGTTTGAGATGTAAGACATTGATGTCTTTTCCTTCCAGATCTTTGTTTGTTTGTTTCTTTTTCTTTCTCACTCCACTTGACCTCAAGGGTATTTGATGTTCTTAAATGAAAGATACATATGCATATAATCTATTTCCTGGGAACTGCTAATAGAATATATCACAATTGTTGCCTTGGCAACAGTTATAATGACACAGTTTCAGATTATGCTTACAGCTTGGTCCTATGGGACTTCCAAATATAACATAAAGATACTATAAAAATATCATAAAGATACTGTACTTAAGGTATTTCTTAAGTATTTCTTGTATTCCTTATATTCCTTCCAAATATCATAAAGATACTTAAGTATTTACAGCTGATGCAGTTTTCGATGGTGCCTAAACCCACTGATACTTTGGTTTTCTGGTGCTTTGTTTTTTATACTACACTAAGCTAAAACTAACAACACATTACAAAACCAGCCATTAGGTTTATTTATTCATTTGGTTTATATCCCACTTTCATTTTGTGAAGCTCAGGCTGTTATACATAATGTTATACATAATGTTATAATATATATAATACAATAATAATATTATGTTATACATAATGCTTATACATATACATTATACATAATTACGTATCTTATATTAACACAGTTGAGAAAGTCCAGAAATATTTCACAAGATTCCTCTACTCGTTGCAGAATACCTTATGCCACCAGACTTGAAATTCTAGACCTAGAAAACCTAGAACTATGCCGCCTTCAGTCCGATTTAAGTATAGTATATAAAATACATTGCAATGTCCTACCTGTAAATGAATACTTCAGCTTCAACCATAACAACACAAGAGCAAACAATAGATACAAACTCAAGGTAAACCACACCAAACTTGATTGCAGGAAATATGACTTCAGCAACAGAGTGATCAATGTCTGGAATACTCTACCTGACTCTGAAACTTTAACCTTAGACTGTCTACTATTGACCTCACCCCTTTCCTAAGAGGTCTGTAGGGGGTGGGCATAAGCGCACCAACATGCCTACCATCCCTGTCCTATTGTTTCTTTTTATTTTTCTTATATGTATCCATTTCATGTATTCATAATTATGTTTATGCTTATACCTATTATCTTGTAAGCAATTGACAAATCAAATAAATAAATAAATGCTCCATCCTCTTATTTTCTCACAACAACCCCTTGTGCAATAGGTTGAGCAAGAGAGAGCAACTAGCCCAAAGTCACCCACTCAGCTTTTCTGCCAAAAAAACCTCACAGTCTCCTGGCTTCTAATCCAGTACTTTAATCATTATGCCCAACTGGCTGTATGTAGATGTGATCATAAATATTCATTCTTCATAAAAAAAATTAAAATATGAAATAACAATTGATTTAGTGCTTGTTTTTTGTTGCTAAATGTCTGTACTCACAGGTTAAAATAGGAGGCCATTCATCTTTATTGAGCAAACAATCATAAATAAGCAGTCACAAGTTTCTAAAAGTTTAGTGGTACTCATTTGCTTCGAAAGGACCTTTTTTTGTTGACCATGGGCCTCATTTAGCAGTAAGGTAGGAGGAGGATTGTTTTGGATGGAAAAAATACAAAGTGGAGACTGTTATTAATATTAACAGGAATTAGATTTTCCTTATTTTACCTCTCATTTCAATGGAGAAAGAAGTTAGGGTGTTTCATTAGCCTTTAAAATATACAGGTAGTTCTCAACTTACAACAGTTCATTTAATGACCATTCAAAGTTACAATGGGACTGAAAAATGGGGCTTATGACTGTTTTTCACAGTTATGACCTATGTAGCATCCCCATGATCATGTGATCAGAATTCAGATGCTTGGCAACTGGTTCATATTTATGACTGTTGCTGTGTCCCAGGGTCATGTGAACACCTTTTGTGAGCTTCCAACAAGCAAAGCCAATGGGAATCCAGATTCACTTAACAAACGGGTTGCTAACTTATCAACTGCAGCAATTCACTTAACAACTGAGGCAAGAAAATGGGACAAAACTCACTTAACAAATGTCTCACTTAACAACAGAAATTTTGGGCTCAATTAAGATTGAGGACTACCTGAATTATATCTCACTTTTACCATTTTATTCTCAGTGGATGACAGACCTGGTCAATGTTTGGTTGACCTGGAAAGCTAAGCAAAGTTGTTTGGATAGGGGATTACCAAAATACAGGTAGTTCGCAGCTTACAAAGTTCATTTAGTAACCGTTCAAAGTTACACCAGCTCTGGAAAAAAATGACTTATATACACACTTGCAACCATTACAGCATCCCCATGGTCATGTGATAAAAATTGGGATGCTTGGCAACTGGTTCATATTTATGATACTTGAAATATCTTGGGGTCATGTGATCAGCTTTTGCAAACTTCTGACAAGCCAAGTCAATGGGGAAGTCAGATTCACTTAACAACCATGTTACTAGCTTAACAACTACAGCAATTCACTTAATAACTATATCAAGAAAGGTTGTAAAATGGGGCAAAACTCACTTAACAAATGTCTCGCCTAACAATGTAAAATGTTGGCTCAATTGTGATTGTAAGTCGAGGATTATGTATCTGAGAATCATAAATTAGTTTAGAAGGAAAAAATTCTATTGAAAAGCACTTCTAAAATGCTGCCAAGAAAATTGCCTGAATGCAAGCAGGAATCCAACCCAACTCCAGTATGTCTTTACCTTTTGTAGACCCATATCAGTTTGCTTATTGCTGCCTTGGAACATGGGGAACCCATGCCATTGATTTTCAGCAATAGTGATAGGATTCTAAAAGAGGTGGCTAGGTTAAATGTGACTGCAGGACCCAAAATTCCTTGTTGTTCGTCTGGAAGATTTGACAGCTACTGATGAATGCAACATGTTCTTAGATGCATCTGGTTTTGCTTGGAATAATCTGTTAGTTAGAAAACACTGCTAGAGGTTACTGCACATTTCAGTTAATGCTTATTGTTGAGTAGTTAAGTACAGTGATGGGATTCAAATTTTTTTACTACCGGTTCTGTGGGCATGGTT